AATACCTTACAGCAAACGTTACCATGGTGACCACTGTAAACATTCCTTTCTAGACATACCGTAACTTACCAAATAATTACCAGGTTTCAATTAACCGCAGGGTCCCCTTTAAATGCCGGGTGCAGGTGTATATTTAGATAAATAAACGCTGGTTCCAAATAAATGACGGGTCTAAATTATTTACAAAAAAATCAAAGAACAAGTGACCACTGACACTGCACGTTTTTCTTCTTCGCCTTTTTCACGTAATGTGCTTGCTTTCTGATGATTGCCATGGCTCTGGTGCTGCAAAAAAGACGTGCCCGTCGACCCCAAGAGAGTGAGAGATTGGCGAAAAAATAAAACTGAGCTTCAGCGTCTGTCCGAGTAGGACAGCAAAAGGGCCAGGTGCCTGGTGGAGGTAGGAAGAAGGCTAACGCGCAGCTTGAGATAAACATGCGTGAATGGGTTATCAGCAAACGGGCACGCCACGAGAGAGTGTCCCGCAAAATGATCAGGGCGATGGCGAAACAAATGTACGCCACCGTGAGTGACAGCAGAGATGAGGAGTTTGCCGCGAGTGCTGGTTGGCTAAATCGTTTCCTCCGCCGCAACAACTTCACTTGCAGAAGACGTACAACTATTGCCCAGAAGGATCTTGTGAGGAAGAAATTAAACGTCTGTCCCTAACTGCCACCTGGTCCCAAATTAACGCCTGGTCTGTTAAGTGATTGAAACAAATAAACACCCAAGCTATTATTTGGTAGTTTACGGTACACATAGAAATGTGTCCTATATTTAGCCTCTGCAAGGTGTGCATACGTACATAACTGCAATATATAATATGTACACATACCTGTCTACAAAGGACACTAAATACCTATACTATATATCATATTATATGATATGTACACATACCTGAGTATTGCTTTCCCTCACTTTGTCCTTCCATAAAATCCCTCTATGATCAAACAGTTCACTTTGTAAAATCTGGATTCCTCTATGTACGTTCCTGTAGTACCAATTATATAACTCTAATGAAATTTAAAAATAATTTGTGAGTAATTTGTGAATTTGACAATACTTTTGTAAACCAATATATCGTAGGTTGAAAACTTTCTCTCTGTCTCTGCGTCTGCACCAGATGAATCCTTCACTGTCCCCAGCTCCACCGCTACTCAATCGCACTATGTGAATTGGTTCTCAGGGCAATCCCTGATCCAATGTCCAAATTTGCCACATCTAAAACAGGTGTCAGTTCTTCCACGTCCCCTTCCTCCCCTTCCACAACCTTTCTTGTGCCCGCAGACTTGGTTTTGATATGCTGCCAGCTGTGCCATTTGCAGTCCCTCTGTAAACTGCATTGCCTTTTTCTTTTTCTTGCTGTTCAAGAGTTTTTCTGCATGATCAGCATGACCCCATGCTGGATTCACCATTCTCTGCTCCTGTGCAGAGACAGATCTTGCCACTTTCAAATACTGAGTCCCCATCTCAGTCATCAGCAGTCTCTGCTGTTCAGTGCTGGTTCCACTTGCACTTCATACTGCTCTCCTACTTAACGCTTGTGGGAGAGATGAATGTCCATAGTCTGTAGAGTGTTTCCATTCCTGCAGCCACCTCCACCATCGGTGCTTGCGGGGTTGCATTCAAATCATAAATTGCCCCCTTCCAGGTGCACCGTGGAATATGTGCTGCCTCATATGTATGCTGGAGGCCTGTCCACCTCCTCTGCTGCAACAAGGTCTAGGGCTGGATGGAGGCTAGGGACGGCTGGAGCTGCCGCCTGTGCCCTCTGCACCGGTAACAGCTGAGTGTCCTGCTGGTCATCACACTGCACAGCTGCTGGCTGTGGTTTTCCTCCAGATCAGTCCAGATCAGGATCTATTCGGACACACTGAGACGTGGAGATTAGTTCAATCCCTACCTTCTGTAAACTATCCCTGATATTTACTTCAGTTAACCAAAATTCACACGCTCCAGTACAAATATCCCTACATTTCTTTAATAGGTTGTCTCAGCAGTTTTAACACAACTCTTATTTATCAATTTAAACTCCTAGTTTGTTCAACAGAATACAAAATTTGGAAGACCAATGTTATGCTGATATGGGAAAAGACATTAGAAATTCCCTAATTTATTTTAATCTGTTCTTCTCTTTTTAATCTACTTTTCTTAAAATTAGTTTTTATTTATTTTAGGATTTAATTCTTTGTTATTAACATCAGAAAGCCAATTATACCCCTAATATACTTAAATTTACTTAAATTTACTTACCTTTACTTACCTTTGGTGGTTGAGAACTCCTCTCTCTCTCTCTTTTTTTCTCTGCTTAAAGCAGATTGATCGCAGCGTCGAGATGATCCTAGCTCAGTTCTCAGTCCTTCAGTCCCAGCCACATCTCCAGTGCAAAACTCTATTTACTATATTATATCATAGTTTGTTAAATCATGAGCCCAACGTCAGAACCCAATTTAACAAGTGTATTAAATCAACAAACACTTCGTATATTTCTATTATTACTCAATACTCGTTAAAGGAGAAGTTAGTTTTTTTTTCAACCTGGTCCTTATTTCCAGTATATGGTATGTAGATCTACTCACCCATAACGGTTTGGAGTAACTTGGAGTCCTTTGGACGCTTTTAGATCCACACACGATCGGCGTATATCAACGCAAGTGACTGGGGCATCCACAATACAGCCTCTAAATAACGCATTATCTGCCGCGAAACTCTTTATTTACTATGAATCGCCAGCACTAGTCAACTGTGAGTCCAAGTTGCTTTGTTTACATCCCGGGGTTTTACTGGGGTGACGTCACTGAGGCACGCAGCCGCAGGACAGCTGACGATCATCTGTGTTTGTTTACACAGAGTTTGCTGCTGCTAGTTTTGCGCAACATGGCAGAATACTTATCAGGTGCATTACAGTACAGTATTTTTTTAAAGCAGTTTTGTCCTGGTGCTCGGGCGTATTCACCTGGTTAAAGGCTAGCCAACACAATGTCCACGACAATGGCAACATCAGATTCTCCAGTTTGAGAATATGAATATTACATTACAAAAATAACTAGCCTGTTTTTAGTTCCTCAAAACTTAGCTACGTACCTGCCAGCTTCATGTCCTATTTAGAAATAAGTTAAATAAAAATGTTAGATGTCACTAAGTTGGTCTATGTCAGCTCCATCCAAGTACTGTCCTGGCATTCTGGTTGGTTATACGACTAGCTGACAAGCTGTTTTAAAAAACATTCTCTCTTCACCCCCCTACCCCACCCTAGATGTCCTATAACATGGTGCTAATGTGTAACCGGCTCATCCAGCTTAAACTGCTGTGTAAGGACAGATCGGATCCAGATCCACTACAGGTGAGACCACTTTACTCAACTAAGATAAAAAACAAAAATCTGCAGGTGATTATTTTTTTTATTATTTAAAACATGGCAAGAAATTGTAATGTTAATTTTAAATGGATCTTCATCTGATTACCAATGTTTGTTCATTTAAACTATAAAACACTTATATCTACAAGGCTATGAACAACCTAACTATGTACCTAAGGTATATAGTAATGTAGGTTCTGACTATATAGGTTTGTATTGACCTATATATGCGCCTCTCAACCCTGACCCAGGGTTCTATGCTAACTATTTTTGCATGCTCCTGAATAAAACAAAAAATCTGGCGTGTACAAAAAAATTTAGGAGCACAGTGGGAAAATTACAATTGAATATATTTACTCTTTATTTCAAATAAATGTTTACAACACGGTTTGTGTGTGTGTGTGTGTGTGCAGATCTAATCAAGCAATGCTGGCAACATGATTCGATGCGCCATTTGATGCAGACTGCTTATGCTATATATTTCACCTTCATAGGTTCATAAAACATGTAAATCTAGGCATGAATACAACACAACAGTGTATAAAGCATTATGGATAATCAGATGTAAGGAGTTGGAGATGTGCAGCAACTTAATGTAAATATGGTAAATACTGTCTTAATGAAAACAAGATGAACATAGTAAAATCTTATCCATCGTACCGTTGAGCCTTTAAGACTCATTGGCTCTGATTGAAGTAGCTCAGACAACAAGCTGTGGAGTTGTAGGGTGTCTTAGGGCATAAAATCTTAAAAAACAATTTAACTTTATAAGACATGCTTTGGATCTGACATGATGACTGTTTCTAGAGGATATCACAGTAACATGATCACCTAGACTACAGACAGCTTTCATTACCTTAACCAGCACACTGTGTTGGTGTAAATCATGTTTCTTGCACACTGTGTTTGTTGAACAAGTGGTTTTAGGAAGTTCTCAATTAGCATTTTACATTTCTTCACTTCAGTCAAATTGTGCTTTAAAGTTTGTGTGGAGGAGAGAATAAAAAGAGGCTGCTCTACCTTTGTTTTCTCATACACACACGCAAGCCTGATCTGCAGGTTTTACAGGCCGTAGAAAAATGTTAAAGTCACAGCCACTAGTTAAATAGGCCAACCATAGGGCATCAAAACCTTTGTATCCATGAAATACTCTGTTGACTGGCTTGTTGGCAGACTTTTTCTGTCCTAATTGTTTCAAATTAAAAGCCCTCTTTTACCTTTCTTTGCCTTTTTTAAACTGTAGCCTTATGGGTGTAATCTGTACTCTCACACTGTGCTCCTAACTAATTTTGGCACAAATCAATTTTTTGGTCAAAAGTTAAATACGTGCACTGCCACATCTGCGGGGCTACATTTGAGGCTAAATTTCTGTTATTTCCTCTCCATAGTTACTTTGAATACACTTCCTCCCAAATAAAAGAAAACTAACCTGACAACGGCATCAGAACCAACACAGAATATGGCACAGAACCCAACTAGTACAACATATATTGAACTTCTAGCTCTGTCTTTCAGAGAGAATGTGAAAGTGACGTGGAGGACACAGAGAGCAAGCCTGCCTCTCTGCTGCGTCGAAGACTCAGCAGCAGCACATAGAGATAAGCAGAGTTCATTGGCGTTCCATAGGAGGGCAATCCATCACCTTTCAACATTAAGACTTCCAAATCAAATGAAAAAGCTATGCATTGTAATGGAAATTTATCTCGAAATGTGAAATAAAGAGTTTCTCAGACTGGAGTTGTCTTTGGGTGTTTAATGGTGAGCTCTGCAGAGGGTTTCAAAAAATCAGGAAGAGCTTAACTTTTCATCATCAAGTCGATTGGACTGACCAAATTTTAAGTTGATCTGATTAATTCTCAGGAGGAGTTTGTGAAAATTTGATGTTTGAGAATCACTGAAAATGACCACTTAATCCAAAACGACTGACTTCCTGTTTGGTTTGGAATATGGGTCCTTAGACTTGTCCTCAGACTTGTTTGTACGTCTAGACAGGATACATATGCATATACTATTTTCATGCATATTGGTCAAATTCCTGCAGGGGCTGGACTTTAGGGGACGCTATCGAGTCAATAAGGCACGCCCATTTCACATGTAAATTTCTCAAACATCTGAATTTTGTGCAAACTTTCAGCAATATTTATGCGTGTTTAGTCCACCAAATATGCAATTTATTGGGTAGAGAAAAAAGGTCAAAATATGAAGAGAAAGGATTAAATCAGATCATCTTGT